ATAATTAAAAATTAATTGAAAATAAAGATATCATCATTAGAAAGCAAAGACACTCTTAAAACTAATTAAAGTTTGTGCTTTTATTTCTGAAAAACTCTGAAGTTTGGTTCAAAAACTATAATTCATTTTTATACATAACAGAAGATCTGAAGAGTGTTATCAATAGTATCTCAGTTAGCAAAGTAAGTGGATATCAGCCGGTTCAAATAATGCTTAGGAAAGAAAACCTTTCCTCAAATGAAAAATACGCTACAGCAATCTACAGCTTTCAGCCTTATTAGGTTGAGGAACTGAGCAACTGCTTCAAAAGCCTTGATGAGACTTTTTACTCATAGCAATGAAAATGTAAATATAGCAATTCTAGAAAAGGAGGTGGAGTTATTTGTTTACTTTTGTTCTTGCGTCTGATGAATGTTCTCCGTTCTGATGAATTTTTAAAGAGTTATGCAATTTTTAGTTAAGATAGTAAAGCATTAAAAGTTTAACCTTCAAAACTAGTCCTGCAAATTTATGCAACTTAAAGTTAATTCTTATTGCTTTAGAGTCCTCAGCATTTATTCTTCGGCATGTTTATTTAAGTTGATATTTTATTTAAGCTAATATTGATTTTAATATATTTCTGGAGGATATATTTCGAAATTACTACTAAAACTTTACTAATATTCTAAGCCAGAAGTGTTTATTTTCTGTTTTTATTCAATAATCTTTTTATATGTGAGTTAATAGTAAATCCCCACAACTATGAAAATGGGTTAAAATGTATCGTACCATTCCGTCATTGTTACAGTAACTCGTATATCGAAAACAATTGTTTCTGCTTTAAAGTATAAAGCTGAATTTAGTTTTTTTTTATGTTAATTCTTTTCTAAACCTTTCATTTCTTCAGTCTGTCTTCGCCAGAATGCAGATTAGTTTGAGTTTAAATAGCGAGCGAATTTATAATTTTGAGAGAATACTGTGGCATCCATCCAACGCATAGTTCACCGACCGATCGTAGAAGCTCTTGTTGGAAACGTGCTTAGAAAGTGTAATTCTCACTTCAGGGGAGAATGTTTTCTCCTCTCATGTAAACACTAATTTTCTTTCTTAATTAGATACTAGAAACATTCTGAAGTGTTTGTTGTTTGGTTGGGGGGGTGATTTTTGGTTCCTTGTATGATATGTAATATTTAAAAATTGTGAGATTACAGCAAGGTCATACCAAAACATGAAATAAACCGACATAATTTTTTCAAAAATGGCATCTTTTCCAAATGGTTTGCGGTTTTTCACCATGGACAAAAGTTTTCCGGGAGGAAGCTGTACTGTCAAGCAAACTGTACAAATTTTCGGTCGTCTCTTGATTTTAGCCAATGGCAGTCCAAAAAAGCATCTGTATTAACTCCGATTATTGTGAACATGTCACAAGGCCTGAAGCTTGTTTGCATTCAAGTATTACCAGAATTATTTTTATCTCTAAATAATTCTTTCGATAAACTGATATTTTTTGGATAAAATGGTTTGTTGTGCAAATCGGTTTATAATCGAAATATGACGAATTCTATCATGCGGTAACAGAAACATTTTCGACTAGATGGTTTGTAGTATATTCTGCAGATATACTTGGCAGTATATGAACAGTAGAATACAAATCTTCTCAAATTGAAATCGTCATCGCTTACCTGGGCTGTCATTGGCCAGTTTCAAATGGTTGTCATAGCAATGTTATAGTTCGATTATGTGCCCCCGGGACTAGCTTAAGTTCAGTAGACTAAAGTTGTCTTCGTCTAAGACGAGCAGCAACCCATTTAGCTGAACTATGTTGTGGTGAGTGAAACATATATCTGTTCAAGCGCAGGATTTGAAAGCCATTGTCGGAGGCAAATTGATAAATGAAGGCCTAACTTTGTGATTTACTGCTTTAAGCACATGATGTTCTGAAACCGCGCATGCAGAAGTGGATACTATTTGTTAATTCTCAGTTGTAGTACGGCATGCAATTTTAATAAACCCTTTAATTAAGTTACACCTTTGTGTGAGTTATTATTGACTTCTGTTGTCTAAGTTATCAGTTGGACTTCTGTTCATTTTGTGAAGGCAATAATTCGTTGGAATAAAAAGAGCAAATTAAGTAGATAACCAAGTTTAACCTTACAGAGTAACTATTCATTAAAAAATAAACCATCTAAATTCCTGCAAAATGCCATGAATCTACATTCTTGATGTTCTATATTCTTAAGTTGACATGATAAGTACAAGCATTCGCAAACATTTTCTAAGCAGCTATAACTCTAATAAACAAATGTATTTCTTTCAACTCGTAAAAAGTTGTACTTTTTTTACCTAAGACCTGTAGCAACATCAGGAATAGCTTGAACTGTTGTAATGTGCCGCCCGAACGGCATAGTGGTTAGCAGAGCCTACTGAGTTACCGAAGGGCCCGGGTTCGAATACCGAAGTAGGCATGGATATTTGTAAATGTATAGTGTCTGTATGGCATGGGGCACTATAAATATATGGCGAGCCGAAACTCCTGTCGGGGGAGGGAGACCCTCGGATCCGTCCTCCGGGGTGCTCTGTATGAAAACTGGGGACGGAACTGAACGAAGTTGTACTGTCACGTGTATGTTGCTCAAGGCTCTTGCCAACGACAGGCGTAATCTTGCTTTCGTAGCCACGATGAAGTTCTTGAACTTGTTCTGATGCTATTGTCAGAAAAGTGAGATAAGTCGCAACACAACAGCACACTGTTGTAATGTTTTATCTAAAATAACTTTCTCCCTCCGTTTTATCCGCATCGATTCACATTACTTTGGATAATAGGCATGTTTAATATTAGGAAAAAATTACTTTGACGTAGATTTGGAGTAAAACTCTATCAATTTTGAAGAGAATTATATATGGTCCCTCTTCTTCATGAGCAAAACTGTCTTTGCCAAAAAGGATTTTTCCTGAAGAAGTGGGATCTGTGTCAGATCACCCTCGAAATCTATAAAATTTTATTTAAGTTCTACGGCAAAATAAAGTTTTCTTTTCAAATTGTACAACGCGTTTCGCTTCCATTTGATTTTCTATATAATTATAAAGTTTTCTGAGAGTTGCTTAAACTAACCTCAGTATGCTATTCCTTTGTGAATGTGTGGTTGTGTTTCCGTGTATTACTTACGAATTGTAAAAGTGCAACGAACGAGTTAAAAATATTCGTTCAAAGTTTTTTTTTAACTTTAAAACTTACGAAATTCTTTGAGAATTAGGTAGTATTACAGAGCGTACTAGGACCGTTTTAATTATTTTTTTTTCTGTGTGTTGTGATGTTAAAAAACCTACTTTTGTGCTTACTGGGAATACGTGTTTTTATTTAATACTGCATCATTTTACCGTTCTTTATAATAACTATATTGCTGTAACAAGAATTTTGATACATTGGAGTTCGATGAAAACTGACAGTTTGAATTTATATTAAATTCACCGATACTGTTTAGAAGTTCGTATCGTATTGTCAGTTTTGTTACGTATTACGTATTATCTGTGCTACAAGCTTATCCAATGATTAAATGGTACTTAACAACTGTAGGATAATTTTTTAAAAATAAAAAGGTATCGTTGAAGATTATTAATAAAAAACTTTCAAGCATTCGATAGAGACAAAAAAGTATTTTATTTATGAGGAAGTATTTGTTGCAATCAAAACTTTATAAATTACTTAAATAATTTTTTTTTCTAATGAATTCTCTATAAAAATGACATAATTTATTACATAAAGTACTTCTCTATCTTAATTTACATTTAAAATTTGAAGCTTTTTCTGTCAAAAATTGCATTCTAGTCGCTACATCAAAAGTAAGACATTAGTCTGTATTAATATCTGAGGAGCGAATTTTCAAATATGATACCTAATTTTAGGATCACAGTTTGAAACACGATTAAACGCTAGATCTGACGAATATAATAATATCAGTTAACATTAAATTAGTCAAAAAAATAAACCACATTACTTGACCAATATTAATAATTTAGAATAAAATGTAATCCTATTATTATACTATTACTCTATAGCGGAATTACTATTATTTGTTTTACCAGGTTTTGAATTAAATTACCGATAATGATGTCGATTTTAAATTACCTGTGAACCTAGAAATCAATGTTTTCAAATTCGCATTACCTACGCGTTTTCAACAACTAAAAATCCTAATTGTAATTCAATTTTAGGAAGTAATTAAAATTAAATTTGCAAAGGAGAAACATTATTTTTTTATAATTTACTGAAATATTCAATTTTAGCTTGATATTAGTCATGAAGTAAATTATGAATTTTGAGAGCTACTGCCGCAAATCCCTCTTCTTCAACGAGAAAATTTATTATGCCTTTGAGATTCAACATAAATCTAAAAATATTACACCGATAAAATTTTGATTTAAAAGGCAAGAATCTTATATCAAGAAAGAAAAAACAAAAATTCTCTCAGTTATTATCTTCCTTTATCGTTTAGCCATTTTTATAAGTTTATTACAACTAAAATCATCTATAATGCTCTTATAATTGGTTAAATAATTCTTTCTTTCTTGTACCTATATAAACGCCAAAATGAACTCCTATAAGTTAATGAGTTTAGTTGTTCTTAAACTTTTTTAATGACTTACCTCTTTTTTCAATCCACTGAATTTTATTTTGTCAACAGGTGATATTACAACTACTGCTTCCTCGGTTTTCATTAATTTACGTTTACTTATAAGTGATATTTCCGGCGAGCACAATTTTTCCGTTTCTTGAATAAAAAGAGCAGTACCAGCTTCTCTTGGAATAACAGACTTTTTGTATAAACCTAGCGTTAATCTAAAGTTGCATTTATATCGTAAATATCGATTTCAAACTAACAAGCTTCTTTTCCATATATGTAAGATGATATGCATAAATCTTCTTTTTCACTTATTTGAAATTATTCCTTTCATGGGAAAATTAAGATATTTTAAGAAAATTGAGGACTGATTGTCTTTTGCTCCCCTTTCTTTGTTTACAGGCATGGGCCAGCCGTTCCAAATGCAGCAGCAGCAAAAACAGCCAGCAATCCAGTCCGGGCAACAGTCCGTGTCCCTGCTGGGCACGTCGGGAACGAGCGGAAGTGGTTTCGTGTCCGGCTCCCTCATCCCGAGCAGTGTGGTGACCCCTGGAGGCATGGGGAGGGGCGGAGGGACCATACCTAGGACCGTGCCCCTTACGGCCCTGTCCCAGACGCTGCAGCAGCAACAGCAGCCAGCGTGGCCCAATTCCCAGCCCCAGCAGCAACAGCAGCAAACGCAATGGAATTTACAGCAAGCAGTACGTCTACATTTATTTCTGTATTGCTCTTGATTGCACAGTATTCCCTCCTATGTTGAATGTCCCATGTAACAAACCCGCGCACAGAAACAGAAATGTCCTACATAATGAATTCCGTTTTGCATTACGAATCGCACATGAACGTAAGCACACTAAACAGAGATTTTTTTTTTTATTTATGGTGAACAAAGGAAAAGAGAGCAAGAAGATATGAGAAATATTTTTACCTCTATATTTTTTGTCTGTAACAAAGATGTACTGAAAAAGGTAAGAACGACGTTTCAACATTCAAAAATTTAAAGTTAGAAATATTAAATTTAACTATTAATAGAATTTTAAGTATACCTAGTTAATTATTAAAATTCGTTAGTTAATCTCTTTTATAAAGCTAGACTGGTAGTGCGAACATGCGCTTAAAACTTTTAAACTCCGAAAACACATGTCTGCATTTTTTCATCATGCGATGATTGGTAGATATTTAATTTCTACCGCGATATTTTCTAAGAACGAATTTTTAAAACTGCGACGTTTACACACCGCTTTATTTTCTACGACGATATTTTATACAGTTATCTTTTCTACTTGCTTTCTTATTTTCACGATATTTTATACGACGATATTTTCCTCTTGCATTGTATTCTCTTTGCTGTTTCAAAAAGCGATATTTTCGGGGGAGACCAGTATCAGTAACTGAATACATTTCTAATATCATCAGCTAATACAAATTCAGTACAAAGGAAGTTCAATGTAACGGAGCTATAGCAAAATTTGAGTAACCTTGTCCATTGAAAGCAACAGCAGATGTAACCTGTGAAGTAGTTATTTGATAAGTCTTTCATTACACTCTGAGATATATACTGGAGGTAGAACTTTGGTTATTCTTTGTCAGCTATCACCATTTCCACAGAAGTCAGTGAAATTTATCAGTATCAGTATCTGAATGCATTTCTAATGTCATCAGCTGATACAAATTCGGTACAAAAGAAGTTCAGTGTAACAAAGTTATAGCAAAATTTGAGTAAACTTGTCCATTGAAAGCAATAACAAAAGTAATCTGTGAAGTAGTTATCTGATAAATCTTCCATTATATTCTGAGATATATAGAGATAGAACTTTCTTCATTCTTTATCAACTATCACAGTATCCCAAGAATTCAGTGAAATTTATTTCCAACAAACCAATTCTTTATTGTTTGTGTTTTTGTTTGCTAACTATATTTAATAGTTTTTTATAAATGTCTTTTTCTCACCATCCATCTAAAACACCGCAGGTGAAATTATTGTAACGAAAACAAGGAGAAAAGAATAGCTTGCAGAAGAAAAACATCCTAGCAAAGAACGAAAGCACTCGGCAAGTAGAAATAAAGTTTTCATTTTAAAACACCGGCGGAAAAACATCACAGTAAAAAATAAAGCGATGACAAAAATGTGTTTTTAAAGATTCTCAGCATTTTAGAAGATTAACAAAAATGCATACCTCTACGAAATTTCATAGCTTCTTTGCTTGAAAATCACAAAGTTTTGTTGTCTTGACATTTTTGTCATGTTGTTTACAAATTGAAAACCATCTGTCTTAACCTATCTTTGCATTGCTTTAATTTCTAAGCAGTCAGTAAGAACTGAATCGTCAAACGTTAGTTACATGCTCTAGCAGTTAGACAGTATAACCATTATGTGAGAAAAGTGATGCATTTAACACGCGACAAATTACAATGAAGCAACATTTCTATGCAATTTGTAGATAAATTAGGCATTTCAATGTGACGCGCTACTCGTACTTAGTATTCTAAACAAAGCATATTCACTTTAAACTGGCTTGAAATGAACACTGTCAGCTCTTAATGAGCAAAGTTTTCAAATGAGCCACGGTGATGGATTTATTTTGGAATTCATGGCTTAATACTTAGAAGTTCAAATAGGACTGCTTATTTGTTACAAATGCGGGATGACTGCTCTTAATTTAGCCATTAAATTGATTTCCTGAATTAGTAGCCGTGCATTTAATTCAGCACAATGTGGAAATTCCTCATTGACGAATCCGTAAGTTCTCAAGTAATGCAGATTAGAGCCAGACGTTGTTTGATTTCATTTAGATGTAATTGCAAACTTAAAGGTATGCTCACGATTCTTATGATTGTTATCAGCTTTGTAACAATAAAACTCCTATAAAAGTGACATGCAGACACGTATTTGCAAGTTTTTATTTTACTTACATATGTTTTTGTTTACTGTAATAATTAACATAAAATACAGAAATGTTTAGAGCATTCCAAAATAACGTGCCCTTCTAATCCCCGTTTCTTTGTTGTGCTGATGTTAAACACGCCTGTTACTTGGTCTTTATAATTTGGGTAACCAGAACGTTGCGCCACCAGAACATTTGTCATCATGTGTTGGATATCACGCGTTACATTTCCATAGTTTATAAACTTCTTATTATATCACATGACATTACTTATTCGTTATCCATTATTTTTAATTTCGTATTCTGCATTGCCCTTTTATTTCGAAATTATTATTAGTTTATTTTTCTATTCATATTCTTTCACGTACCCTCACAAGAAAGTATAAATTACTGTTAAACAAAGACTTCACGTATTCCTATAGCATAAACTTACAGGACTGCCTGTACTGCATTTTTAATATACAAACATTATATTATACATTGCACAGTAATATTAAACTTATATTGCATAAACCTTATATTGCACTTTTAATGCAATATAATTTTAATGTTCAGATCCCAGCTTAACTTTAAAACATTTTTTAAGTTAGACAGCCATAATACGCCACCTAGATTAAAAAAAATTGAGGTAAGAGACCTAGAAGTTTAAAATACAAAACATAAAATCATTATTTAAAATGAGTATAGGAATCCAGCTGCGTGGAATTAACTCAGAGTTATTTAGACCCTATTAGACTGACAAGCGAGTTATCACTACGTCTGAAATATTATGAAACAAATCCCACGAATGTTTATATAACCCTTCTAAAGCGCAACTTGTGCATTGAAATAAACTCTTCTGCTTGCGGGTATTCAAAATAACAGAGCTGAAATCTCAGACTAAAGATGCTGTAGTCAGACACAAGTAGCCTAATTAAGTTAGCTCGATATTTTAATGACTTACTTTTAACATCGGCCAGTGAAATGGCTAAAGCTGGAATATTGATTGCCAAGCTGGGTGATGACAAGTAGTTCACTGCAGGCGAGCTGTCAAGAGTTTTATATCTATTACATTCAAAATTCTCAGCTTAAATGCTCTACAATCTAATGAGAATCCTGGTGACGACTACGGAAAGGAGAAGTTATAGTTAAGGTTTAAATCGTAAAAACTAGTTAATTAGAATAAAATACTTTCCAAGAGCTGCTCAAACCAGCAATGTCGAATGGTAGGAAAACCATTCTATCATATTATTCTTTCTTATATTAATTAAGCAAAGAATTGACTTTATTCAAGATGTAGCTGTGGACTTTATCCTAATTGGATAGCTAGTGTACGAAGCTTTCAGCCGATGTTTTCCTCAGCGGCAAAAATTTCTGTTTTGTCAAATAACAAAATTCGTCTAATGAAACCAAGGCATACCTGATATTTAGTACACACGTAGCATTTGGTCAATAGTTCAGTTGCACTCTCAGCGATGGTTACAAAGTCATTTTAATCGTTAGTTATTTTTCTGATGATATTTGGTTGCATTGTTTAAACATGGAAACGGCTTCTAAGTTATATTTGATACGGAGTGGAAAGGCAAATTCTTGCTTTTTATTTTCCTCATTATGTTTTTCTTTATCCATCGTTTCTATGATGATTTCAGTCCTAATCGAAAGATATATCAACCTTTGCCTTACACAACAAGACATTTATTTTCCCGCTATACACATCCCACAATATGAGACACTTATTTTCTCACCAAACACATCCCACAATGTACAGATCCACAATAGAGAGCATTTATTTTCCCTTTATGCACATCCCGCTGTGTACAATACATTTATTTTCCCACTATATACTTTATAGAGTCTCGTTCTCTTTGGTAGCGATGCCAAGCTGTAAAAAAGACTATATGCGGAATTATCCCCAGGTCTTAGTGACAACAAGAAATCAGAAGATGGATGTAAAGAACCGTTTATTCAATGAAACATAGTTGTACAGATGGTCCCACTTGGATTTACGAAAAGCTAACACTTCTGGCTAAGGTAACGTTAAGCTTAAAATGCATTAAATTTAGACTAACGGCTCATAGGATAATTTAACTCGCAGGAAGGCTCTGATTCATAAAAGTCGGCGGAAACAAGCTGCTTGATGGCTAGAAGCACTCAACGCCACATAATCAAATCGCTAGTAATTCAAAATAGAAACGTATCCTTCAAGGAGGCACAACGCTCTAAAATCACCTTTCAAAAACCTTCCCTTAAATAGCACTTCTTTGATTCCAATTTGAATACACGCGAGCTAACTTATTAGCATTCTGGCACAAAAGCGTAGGCGAAAAAGAGACTGACAGAAAAGTTTCTGTAACTATAAATTAACTATCAGTAAAACTAAATACATCCCCACAACTTAAGAACTTGAAGATTATATCTTTCATTGCACTTACCTGCAAGGAAGACATAAATCAAGTAAACGTTAACACATACGCCTTCTGTCAGCAGTTTATCAACTTGCATAAAAACATCTTTCGTATACTTAGAATTATCTCAGTATAATAATTCACCAAAGCAGTATAAAGCTAAAAACTGTTTGTGGTCGACTACAGAGTAAGGTTCGATCAAAAGAAGAGTAGAATGCCTTTATAGGCTTGGATATCAGCTATGAAATTCCAGTCATAAAGTTTCTTAAGATATGCAGTTTTATGAAGAGTGTTTTCATAGTATGGTTTAAAGCATTTGGAAAATATAAACTCTAATTTTATCTCGTAAAGTAAATCATTAACTAAAGTATCAATTATGTTCTAATAAATTAAATATAAAATGTCTTATACATTACTTAGCAACGTTCTCCA